AAAAGTTAAATCCCTTTTTAGAGTAGCTGGCTTTAACTGAAATCAAAACTTTAAAAGTTTCTTACCCGGCCTAAGTTTTTAACCTTTAGCTTAAATTTATCTCCGATACTTTAAGATCTTATACCTTAACTTACATATTATTTTATCTTTCTCAGTGTCATTTTATCTTCCAAGAACACTACTATACCTATTTTATATTCTCACGGTCTATTATTGATGTTTCCAATTGAACACACTTGCGAAATTTCTCCTTCACTTAAATCCATTACCATTTTATTAAACTTATTTCAATAAGAAAATCATACGTTATAACTTATAACTTACAGAAACTGATATAATATTTCAATATTTTTTTATCAACTTCTACTCTTTCCCCGTGTAAAAATGATATGATATCATTATCAGGCTCATAATGAATATCATGATGAATCTCATATTTTGGCACTAATATGAGATTCATATAAGAGCCATATCAATACTTTAGAAACCCGTAATAAGTAAAATACCTGTGGGAACGAATTTTTTTTAAGTAGATCAGTAAAAATTTCATTTTTTCTGTTAATCAGAGGAAATGTATAACAATTGAGAAAAACAGTATTTTTATCATGCACTATACTGTTGAACTACTTAACTTTTCTCGTTGTCTTTCTTAACTTAGAAGAATATTTAGAAAAACACTATCTTGGTTTAAAAAAAATTTTTGACTGAAAAGATTTTTTCGTCTCAAGATAATTATTTTCTTATTTTGAAAACAATTTAAATTCTCCTAAAAATTTCTTTAATTTTATTATTTTGCAATATTTCCTGTATACAGTTATGACTCAATAATTTTATATCACGATTTAAAAAGACTAACAATATCATTATAATTTTATAAAGATATGACCATCATTTAATTATTAATTCATTTTAATATCATTATGATTTCATAATGAAATTATGTTAATATCATCATGGAGATACTGTCCTAATGAATTTCCAACAGTTACAAAAAAGTTTTTTTCTTAAATTATGAATAAAAGGCAACAATATCATTACAATATTATGATGATTTTAAAAGAATATCAGCCTGATTCCATCATAAGTTTACGCAGTTACTATTATGATTTCAGTATGAAATTATGCGTTTGTCATTATGGATTTGTCACGAATCTCCATGAGACCGATCCGTGTGGATCAAATTTTATATTTAATAATAATTTTATATTACTAGAAATTTGCTTTCTCCAACAAGAAAAATAAAAATTTTATAATCTAATTAAAAAAAATTCGTTTTCATAAGTATTTTACTTAATACAGGTTTCAAATATATATTGATATGGCTTTTATTATATGAATCTCATATTAGTGCCAAAATATGATATTCATTATGAGCCTCATATCATTTTTACACGGGTCTTCCCCTTCTTCTTAAGGAGATCCACGTAAAGTAGTCAAATTTTTAAAACTTCCTGAAAATTTGTAAATTCAATCTACGTAGCCTAATGATTAAGGGAGTCCTTTTGCTCCAGTTAAGTCACAACAACTGTAGTAGTCAATATTCAATAAATTCAAATAAAAAACCCATAAATATTCCTAAAATTAAAAAATAAATAGTATACGAGGCATTAATCGTTGAAATTTTGAAAATTAAAAAAAAAATAGTTAAATACAAAAATTAATTTGACTCTTGTAAATCAGCTGTTAATAACCTGTCCGTGATTTGGCAACGCTACATATTGATTGTTTACATTTTCATTTGTACAATATAACCTTAACCATGTTTAAGTTTTTTCAGTCAGTGTAAATAAATAAATTAATTAAAAATGTTTAGTCATAAAACCATAACATTCTAATGTTTAATGGCAAGAATGCTAGTATTTTTTAATTATTGTTTTATTTTTCAATTATGAAATATGAAAATTTGTTAACAATAAATTAATTAATAAGTATGTATGATAAACATGAGTGCGTTAAAGTTTAGTTTGAATTTATTGAATGGTCTGAAGCTCGCGCGCTACGCAACGTTGCCAAATGTTCTGACGCCATTTAAATGTAGGATACTCAAAAATTTTCTGTGATTTTATAATTTTAATTTCTCCATAAATTCCACGGCAACCTATATATTTTATTGCAAAAAATCAAACCTGAATATTTCGAAAACCTTATTTTGAGTTTTTTTTTACCCCATCTAATCGGTGGTTAATGCTATAATTCGAGAAAGTTGTTAAGGTCTGACTTTCTCGTAAGACTCGGGAAAAATACTAACATTTTTAAAAATTTTTTTTTCAAAAATATCCACGGTGAAGAATAAATTAAACTTTACTAATAGATGAATAAGGACTTTAACTATTAGATAAAACTTAATTTTATGCATAATCTAATATTTATTATTTAACATTGATGGCGAAAGGACCTCCTTAATAAAAAAAATTAAAAAACAAGTTTCCGGTAAACATAAATAAATTTTAAGGTTAGGGACACTCTTTTGGTGTTGTCAAGTGTATACCGGTAATTCAGAGTGCTATATTTTTTATTAGTCAATTAAATGTTAATAATTATTTAATGAGTAAATTTATCGGAAATTTCCTCAACAAATGTTAATAATTAATTTAAAAATTAATTTTAAGAAAAAAGTATTTCTACGTATTATTTTTTTATAGACATTCTTTACACTAGAAGGCTATTTGGATCTCCTTAACTTTATTTTCTAGAATTTTATTACAGATCCCCAATTTTTATTTTATAATTTGATCCTGTTAATTGTTAATTTTTTTGAAAAAACAGGTTATGGGCCCTGATTTTTTGCACGGACCTAGAGGACACTGTTTAAAAAGTAATTATGAAAGAACCAAATCAATCGGTCAATTAGTTTCGGAGTTATAGTCATTACAAAAATCATTACACAACCCAAAGCGCGGCAAGAAATAATTAAATTGCAATTCATGGGCTAAATATTGTAGATATAAAAAAATTATAAGAAACCTTTTTTGTAGGGAATTTTATTCTCTATAAAAAAGTTTCTCATAAATTTTTATCTTAACCCTTGACCCGGAAATCGAAAATTACGAGAGTTCAATCAGTCAAGCCCCTAAAAGTCAAAAGAAAATTTACGGAATCATTTCTTCTGATTAACGAGTGGGCTTACTGAAAAAAAAAAAAAAAAAGATAAAAAAAAAGGAAAAATAAATAACCCAGTAACTCGCGGGTAATTACGTAAATTATGAGCGTGGGTAATACCAGTTGACTTTATATACAAAGTCTTAGGAATGGCTCTTTCCATTTCTCTTTCTCAGCCGGGGGTTGTTTGACATCGAATTTAAGAGCTTACAGTTCTCACCGAGGGTGAATAAATTTTTTAACCTTATTTACTAGTTTTTTTTAAACCCCAATAATTATTTGAATTTACTGTTTACAGTGTCGTTAAACGCCGGCGAATTCCAGGTAGTCCGAGTTACTGAATTTATATAATATTAAAATACCAACCAAGGTTGATTAAATTTCAACAAGATCCTAATTTTATTGCAGATAAATTTATGTTTATATTTTTTTTGTGTATTTAAATTATTTACTTACCTTAAAAATTATCATTATTGTTATTAATGAAAAAAAATTTACAGTTTTAATAGTAATAAAAACTAGTAACCTTGCAGTCACTATGTGACTGCCGTGACTTGAGAAATATAAATAAATAAAATTTTACTTTATTAAATAATTAATTTTGTTAAATTGCACTGTACTTGCTTAAATATTGACGATTTTAAAGATATAAGCTCATTCCGATGCTACACCCATCAAGAGCTTTCATTTGAGTACCCACATGCATTTTTTATATATTTTTCAAATATACATATATAATATATATATATATATAAATATATAAAATATATGAAAAATTGATGTGGGTACTCAAATGAAAGGTCTTGACTAGTGTAACATCAGGATGAGCTTATATCTTTAAAAATGTCAATAGTTCACCAGTTACAAGGTCATTTCTCAATTATGTATTCTGAAGACAAAATTTTTCTTATTCTTTTAAAAATATAGATTAAAACTATATGGTAGGTTTTATAATTATTATTATTGAAAAAAAAAAAAATGATCAAGTATAAAATTGAAATAAAAAAAAATATTTAATAATTTAAATTCTATTTATTACGTCCATATCTATATATACAATAATTAAATAATTAATAAATACAATAAGTGACTTGAGCTAAAATTTTACAGTACGGGGTACACAATTTTAATTTTTCATTAATCATGGCAGGAATCGACACAAATTTTTGATTTTTATTTTAAAAATTAAAAATTATTATTGCTCTCAGTCACCAATTGACTCACTCAATCTAATTCAACATATTTACAATTATCCTTAATATTATTAATATAATTATTGTAAGTATTATTATTATTAATAATCATAATTATTATTGAATTATTTACATACGATTAAAATCTATTAATCTGAAAGATAAAAAAAGGTAAAAAAGAAATCGAGCGTTAATAAAAAATCAGTCTTAAATGCAAGAGATACAAGAGTACGTACATTTTATCATCGCATCGTTGTTTTATATTTTTTTTCTATACATTTTTCCTACTTACTTATTTATTATGTAGTTACTTAGATATTAAACGCGGTTACTTTTTTTTTTTACCGAAAAAATGAGCGTTGTAAGGTGGATGTCTCCAAATTTGGTTGTGGTTTGAGTAAAAACTCAATTTTTTAATTACCAGTAATTAGGAATTGTAATTAGGTTGTGATTTTTTGTAAGGTACCTAGGGGACACTTTTCTTAAAAAAGTTTTGAAAGAACCAAGTCAATCGGTCGATTAGTTTCAGAGTTATAGTCATTTTAAAATTCACGGCACAACCCAAAGCGCGGCAATAAATAATTAAATTGCAATTTATCGGGTAAGTATTGAAGATACTGCTTAAATTTGACATTCACCTTACCAAAACAAAAAAGTTATCGAAAAATACTATTGCAATCTTTGATAGTAATCATTTCAATATCACGTACAACCGCTGAATAATTGCTATCAGTATTAACTTTATGCTACGTATTGAGCGTGGTATTACCAATACTGGAGATGAAACTCGGACAAGGATTGTTATTGTCTAGCCTATCCCCACTCTGGAGCGAAAAGTGACGATATGACATGTATTCCGGAGGATTGGGCGCCAGAGGCTGTTCGCGCTTCATAGCCGCCCTCTGTTTCTTCATCTTCATATACCCGAGGATCGACACCAGGACAATGAATACCACGAACCCCATGCAGCTTCCGACTATCAATCCCAACCTCCTGGTCAAAATGGTGGCTATGCCAGTTCTTTCCGACGGAGTGTCCCCAATTATAGAGTCTGGAGCATCTAGAGTTGTAACTTCAGTGCACCTGCTCATCGGGGAGTTAACCATCATCTGAGCTAGGTTAGATCCCGTATTTATCAAGTCATCCGTCGAGTTCTGGTTAGTTCCAAGGTCTTCCGGTAGAGGAGTCATCCAATTTCCGAGCCCAAGGACACAGATCAGGTATTGGGTGTTCGGAAGCAGCTTAGACAGTTGAACGGACCTTGCTTTTGGGTCTAGAAGCTTCCCTCGGATCTGTAAAAATTAATAAAAATTTTTTAGCCTACAGGTTATGGGCCCAGTACCAGGGTTGGAATTTTTGGTTCATTTTTTGCAAGTACCTAGGGGACACTTTTCTAAGAAGGGTTTTTAAAGAACCAAGTCAATCGGTCGATTAGTTTCGGAGTTATAGTCATTACAAAAATCATTGCACAACCCAAAGCGCGGCAATAAATAATTAAATTCCGATTTATGGGGTAAATATAAAAAATTATAAGAGATTTAACCCAGAAATGGCAATTTATAGGCTTGAATTGATAAACTTAGTTTTATAACAGATATGGTTATTCATAAAAAGTTAATGCGTGATTGTTCTTGGTTAAAAGAGAGAAGCTATTGTTAGAAGAGCGTAAGGCTATTGTTAGAAACTTTAAATACCTCGTTGACATTGCCGATAGTGTGATAGGCAACTTGGTACCCATGTAGGCCGGAGTGATTGCGACTCTGCCAGGAAACTAGGACGGAGAAGGGCTGAATGTCTTGAATAGCGAGCTTGATGACGAGAGGGGACGAACAAAAGGCGCGAGGATCAAGGTCAAGAAATACTAGACCACGTAGCTCTGGTGGTTGGTCGCATCGAAGTGACCCAGGCGATGAATCCATGCTAGGGATACTGCCCAGCTGGTTGTTACCATTCCGGTGATCGATTCCGACCAGTTTCTGGTGGTCTCTTAGCCATTCCCAAAGTTCTTGCGACTCACAGCCACAATGCAATGGATTTTCTGTAACAGATTTCATTACTATTGGAGTTTTTTTTATCGCAAATAACCAGCAAAAGTTTGTATGAGTATTGTCACATAAAAGTTACGACACATCGAATATAAAATTGTGAGTTTACATCTATTGAAAACGATAAAATTCGATTTAAGACTTGGATGAATAACTTTTCCGATCAATACTTGGCTTATACTTTGTTTGGAAAACAAGCCTGATTGCTAGTCGCCATTTTTAGCTTGAATATACTCAAAAAACTTGAATTTTTTGGTTAAAATTGCGATTTTTAAAAATACTACTACTTCTTTTCAAACTATTTTTGCCAGAATCTCTAGTTCTAACCTTCAAGATTCTAAAAAAAAATTTACCAAGATCTATCTAGTTGCTACCCACCATAAAAATGGCGTTAAAACCCTAAAAACGTGATTTTTTTCATACCTAACAAAGAAAAATTCTTTCCTATGGAAAATTTTTAAAATAAAAAAATTTTTTTGTATTCTAGAGGTAATTTGTCAACTTTTTTTACTTTTAAAATTTTATCCTATCTCTAATATTTTTCAAGTTAAAAAATCCCCAAAAATGACCTTCTAACTTTCACTTCAAGATTTTCCCTTAAAAATTATCCAATTGCTTACCTTCAGCTCGCAGACTCCTAATTTGTGTCTCCAGAGGCCTGAATGCATTGAGCGGAAGATTCTCCAAGTAATTCCTGCTCAAATCTAGTAACCTAAGCTTCTTTAACGGCCTGAAAGCCTCGCTTGAAATGGCATTGATCCAATTGCCATACAAATGAAGTTCTATTAAATTAACCAAGTTTTTAAAAGTCTCTTTGCCTACTACCCCAATGTGATTATAAGAAAGGTCTAAAATCTGTAGCATTTTCAAGTCCACAGGGAATTCTTCAAGTTCTTTCAACCGATTTCGGGTCAGATTAAGAATCCTAAGATACTCCATACCTTGAAGCCGTTCTTTAGGCAGTAATTCCAAGCTATTAGCGCCTAAATGAAGAGTCAGAAGATTTGGAAGCGGCCTGAAGGCACCTGGTGAAATTCTGATGATGCAATTCTTGTCCAAGAACAGGTGCAGCAATGCTGGAAAACCTTCAAAATCCTGACTAGTGACAATCGACAGGTTGGTACCCGTGATATGAACCTCTTGCAACTGAGGATAGATCGCATCAGCTGGCATCTCATGGATCCTAATCAACGGATTCCTGGTCAAGTTCAGCCAGGTCAATCCTGGAAGATTCTGGCCTGACAGTGCGACTGCTGGAACCTGGAGAAACCGATTCTCCGACAGATCAACGCGTCTGAGCAAAGGTGAGTTTACGAAAAAGTTAGCTGGCAGAGCAGTCAAGTGGTTGTTGCTCAGATCAACAGCAAGCAGCCGGGTCAAGTTGGACATAGCGAATCCAAACAACGATTCAATTTTATTCCCACTGAGATCCAACTCTCTCAAGTACAAAATACTGGTCAGACTCCCCATATCCACCGTGACGATCCAATTGTTTGCCAACGACAAGATCTCCAAGTTGATCAAGTTCTTGATCGACAAATACGGGACCTCCATGATCCTGTTGTAGTCTATCCTGAGCTCCCTGAGCTGGCCAAATGGCTCGAATATCCCCGTAGGCAAACTTCGAAGAGAATTGTGGTCCAGCTGCAATCTTGTCAAGTTCTGGTTCCATTTAAAGGTAACTTCATCAGCATGAACCAGTTGGACTTTACTGATCACCAATTCCTGAAGATTCGGCAGACCTTTGAAGTTCCTTTCGTTCAAGTAGGTAAAATTGTTTCCTGAAGCAGTCAAGCTCTTCAAACTTGGAATCTCTAATTGGGACAATGCTTCAGCAGTTAGAAAATTGTGATCTAAATTAAGCTCCGTGATCTGATGAAGATCAGCAAAGCTTCCGTTTTCAATCTCGACAATGGAGCAGTTCCTGAGGTTGATGATTCTGATAGGCAGTCCTTGGAGGAACATGGTGGCATGCAGCCTGATCAGTTGGTTGTTGGCCAAATCCAAGATCCTGAGCTTCTTCAAGGTGGTCAAGGCGTAGGGATCTATTGACCTGACCCCGTTGTCCTGTAAGTACAATTCTTCCAATTCATGGAGCTCAGCGAAGGTCTGGGCAGTGATGCGCTGCAATTGGTTCATGCTAAGCTCAATGAACTTCAAAGCTTGCATAGGCTTGAACGCCGAGTCTTCGATGGAAGCAATTGAATTGTTGGTCAGGTAGAGCCGCTCTACCAAAAGCAGGTCTCTGAACAGAGCAGCTTGAAGATGGGTGAGTTTGTTGTGGCCCAGCCACATGATCCTCACCGAGGCTTGGCCTCTCAAGGAATCATTATGCAGGACAGCAAGTCCGTTGCTGTCCAGCTGGATGGACACCAAGGACCCGGTCTCTGCTCCTGAAGACAGTTGGAACACGTCTCCTAAGGACGTAAGCTGGTTCCCTTGAAGGTTGATGTGCTGGAGGGAGTTCAGGGTCTTCAGAGCACCAGGTTCTATCCCAGAAATGGAATTGCTCTGGAGATGCAGCTCCAGGAGGTCATTTAAAGGTGTAAAGACCCCTTTTTTGATCTGGCTGATTCTGTTTTCCTGGAGCCTGAGCTCTCTGAGCTGGCTGACAGGTCCAAAGGTTCCGGGTTTGAGATCGGAGATTCGGTTTCCATCAAGGGAAACTGCTGTTAGGTTGCTGCAGAAGCTGAAGAAGTCAGTCGGGATGCTTTCGATGAAGTTGTTGGACAAATGAAGCTGGGAGAGTTGTCCCAACCCAGCCAGACCCCTGGAATCAATTCTACGAATGGCATTCTGCTGGAGGTAGATCACTGCCAGGTTGCTGCTACCGAGAAAAGAGTCAGCTGGCAGCTCCAGGATGTTGTTCTCTGCTAAATAGAGCTCATGGAGCTCAGCAAGCTTGGAGAAGACACCACTGATGTAGTGGATGTGATTGTGGCTGAGTTCTATGTTGCGGAGTCGAGGATTTAATTGGAAGCTTCCGGTATCCAGGAAGACTATCTTATTGTGGCTCAGGTCTAGAGACTCCAATTCTTTTAACGAGACAAAGGCATCCTTGTGGACGGTTTCGATGGAGTTGTAGTACAAGGACAGGGTGTGGAGGAATGGAAAGGCAGCGAAGCAATCAGGACCTAGCTCGTCGAAGTTGTTGGAGCTCAGGTCCATGATCAGCAAGCTGAAGATTCTGGAGTATCCATCATTAGGCAGCTGGGAAATCTCGTTCCAGGCCAGCCGCAATGATGCCAAGTTCTCCAGGCGTCTTAGCGCTGCTATTGGGAAGAGCTTCAGCTTGTTTTCTGATAGGTCCAGGTCGCTCATGGTGGCTTCTAGACCCGCGAAGCTGTGCTCTGATATCTTGGAGATGGCGTTGCCTTTCAGAGAAAGCTTCAGCAGCTTCAAGCCCCAGAAGCAGTAGGAGGGCAGGTCCTGGATCAGGTTGCTTTCAAGGTCCAGGACCATTAATTTGTGGAGCTCTGCTAGAGACTTCTGGGGGACCTGGTCCAGGCGGCTGGATACCAGGGCCAGGGATTCCAAGCTGTCCTTGATCGGCAGGAACGCTTCTTCTGCTATATCGTTGACGTATGAGTGGGAGATCTGGAGATGCCGGATCTGCGAACGTGGGAAGGATCTCAAACGCAGCTCTGTTATGCTCTTGTCCAGCTCGTAGATGCTCAGTGATTGGACCACAGTTGGTCCTGGAAGAGGTAAGGTTAACAGGACATCTAAATGTTTGATGATTAAGGGGACTTACCTGCGTCCAATACGGTCTGCATTGTTTTTCGAAGGGTCTCTTCGTTCGCGCCAGCGCACTCTAGGAAAAGGCCATCCTCGAAGTTGTAACAAGGACATCCTGGAATCTGTTCGCTTGGTGGACACTCGGCTGTTTGGCAGAGAATTGTTGGGACCAGTGCTAGAAGTATTAGTAGTGTCTTAAGGAAGTTGGAACACGTTGATAGTTCAGCCATCACTGAATTTCTGGAAGCAGATGAAAGGGGGTGAGTATGATTATTATTGTGCGGGGTGGAAATAAACAGAAATATAATAGCTTGTGAGATACATTGTTTGGGTTATACTCCTGTTGTTTGTACGACCTGAGAATATAGATATTGCTATTATATTGTCTGTTTATATATTCAGTGGAACAAATGCGCATACTGACGGTGAATTGAATTCTCGGGAGGAAAAAAAAGTATTGTGCATGACCGGGATACTTATAGAAATGTTTTTATTGTTTTGAAAATGTCGATTTTTAGAAACAAACACTAGAACTATAACGAAAATTGAATTTCTAGGGAGAATTGTGGATTTTTCTGGGAATAGAAATTTTTTTTAGGGAATTTTTTTTAGAGAATACTTGGATTGAAGCCTCAGGAAGGTAGAAAAAAATATTCAAAGGGGTAGCTATCTGGAATCTTGGAGAAAAATGGCGTTAAAACACCAAAAACATGGTTTTTTTTATACCTAACAAAGAAAACTTTTTTCCTATGGGAAATTTTTGGTGTTAGAAATTTTTTTTGGATTTTAGGGATAATTTATCAACTTTTTATACTCTTATAATTTTTTCCTATCTTTAATATTCTCTTGGGAAAAAAATTCAGAAAAATCAGAAGTAAGTTTTTGTGATTTGGCGGTTAAGCGAAAATAAGGAAAACGTGGGTGGTGGCTCTGGAGAATTGAGTGATGAGAGACAAGTGAAACTAAGCCCTGGGAATGGGTTTGGTGTCAGAAAATCGAAATTTATCAAACGGATTTACTGGTGAGACATTTTGTGATGCAATGAGAATCTAGATTTTGCATTTGCCGGGAGCGTTTTTCACTATAATGTCTCGTAGTTTTTATCTAAAGTCACGCTTCAAAGAAATCAATGGAAAAAAAAATATATATCTTACATATCAGAGAGTTGTCTATTCGACACGTTTATCACATACTTCGCGTCAAGTACTCAATACGAATATAAATATAAATATCGGAACGGAATATATATAAAAATAAATAGAGCAACTTTGAGGCAGCTGAATCGAAAGAGAAAAAGACTAAGTTTGTCAGCCCAGATCGGCTAGAATAAATAACTCACTGAAAAACTTTCAGTATGCTTTTTCAAAATAAAACTTATGATAAAAGGTTAAGTGTCAACATAGACCAATAGAATTTTTAAATTTACAACCCTTTGAACACTTTTAACATAAATTTCTTGGGTTATTTTCAAAAAAACCCTTTTTTTAACTCCCGATTTCCAAGGTCTGATTTCTAAGCTCCATAGCTTCGAAACTATCGACGCGATATCGCAGGCAATCACCTTACCTTATCGGAAATTTTATGGCCTACAAAAAAGTACTGAGATGTTTTTTCGATATCTCTAACCATTTCGCTATAAATCGAGAGCCAAAAATGGGCTTTCGAATGACCTTGAAACTTAAGGCCCGATTTTAAGGGCCTGTAGCTCGGAAACTATCGGAGCTAGATATACGATATAAAAACGTTTTTTGTAGGAAATTTAACGGCCTACAAGTAGGTGTAGTCATTTTTTAAATGCCATAAATAGGGGGCGCAAAAATCAGGTCAAAAGTTTTATGCAGAATGTTTTTAATAATTACGTTAGTTTTTGTATTGTGGAATAAAATTCAAAGTTTAGAATCCTCTGACCAAGAGCTGTTATTACGTCTACAACCGAAGGGAGCTTAATGGTCAGTTGTAAAGGCTACTTAGTGAATAATAACGTCAGTAATGATAATGGAAGAAGTTTAAACAGAGTGAAAACACTTTAGAATGCAACGCTTTTCGACAGATGAAACCAACTCGACTTAAAATGTGTCCGGTCTGAATAATACACGGTAATCTCGGTACTTAGGGACGGAAAGGGGGGAGGCGAAGGGAGGGTCTAATGTAACGTTTAAATCTGACGAAACATCTAGCGGTTGAATTTGCGGGGTTGTAATTGTCCGGGACCATTACAACCAAATTGGGCTATTTTGGTCGGATAATCATTGAAAGTCAGATCATTTGAATTAGCATAAATTCTAATGCCTTTCCACAAAAATATTTTACAATAGATTAATCTGGATATTGACCTACTGAATATTTCATATGAATCCGGAATCAGAATGATGAAACCCATTGATCTGAAATGCGTTTCAAATTCAAGTTGTATTTTCATGATAAATCAACTCCATCCTCATCCTCATCTTCATTCTCATCTACATCCATATTCCCTTTATATTCTATTCTATTTTATGTATACTATCTTCTCCATCAACATATACATTTACATACCTTCCTTATATCCATATATATTTCGCCGAAGCAAACTCCACCCTACACACACACACATACACACACTGAATTTAGTACATTTCGGCAAGAACCACAAGTCAAATTAAACTCAGTACAGTAATCAAATATACATCGCTATATGACAGTCAAAGTACACATCATCCACTTGCATATATAAAGTCAACAATCCCAACTCACAAATAGTATCTCATAATTGAGAACTTTGCCATATTGTCTGCTATATACTCTCTATGTTTAGTTGCTAATCACAAATCATGTGCTTTACTGTTGTGCAATTCAAATAATTACTATTGTCAAGCAAATATATGCACAAATTTTTTCATCAAAAGTTTCATTTCCCTTGAGGGTCATTTTTAGGATTTTTTTTCTCGATATTGGTTAGAGATAGGATAAAATTATAAGAGTAGAAAAAGTTGACAAATATCCTTTAAAGTGCGAGAAAATTTTTTTTATTCAAAAATATTCCATAGGAAAAAAGTTTTCTTTGTTAGGTATGAAAAAAACCACCTTTTTTACCCTTTAGCACGTCTACCGTCACGGTAACGTATCAAATAAATTTAGGAAAATGATTATTGTCATTTTGAGACTTAAAGCTTGAGATTTTAGCAAAAATATTAAAAAAAAAAAATTTTTTTCAATATAAATATCAGAGTTAAAAAAAAAATTTCAATTTTTTTGCTTTGACGCCTCCTTAGAATAACAGGCGACATCTGTTTGACACTCAGGATGTTTATTTCAGAATTTAAATGTATGAAAACTCTAATTGCAAGCTGTTTGCAACATAAATTTATCTTGCTAACATGCAAAAACCGTATGAGAATATTTGAAAGCACGGAAAACATTGGATTATCAGAATTCCAAATGAAATTCGAATTCAGATTCAGATTGAGCGTCAGTATATATTCATATTTCATAAGCCAGTCTATGAATTCGTAAACTGACGAGCGGAATAAATGTTCGATATATAAATTTCATTATCTAGGATGCCAGATGAATATTCCGAGTTTCCTACAATATGTTCACAAATCTTTGTTTTTTTTGTTTCCTGAAAAAACAAAAACTATTTCAATTTTCAATTTACGAAAACAATCCCCGAATATTCTTAAGAGCATAAGGTTTTAATTAACAATATTGTTATCGCGATGTGCTGTGACACCCCCCACCTTATCCAAGCCGCGCAAAAAAAGTCTTCTAAATAAATATCTTTCTTTTTTGCTATTAAAAAACACAATCTTCATCTATTCCATTCCATTGTATTTTATCTCTATTTTTCTTGCCTCAATTTAAGTTTTTTTTTATCCCTCCAGTTTTTTTTATCATTCTACCACTGTTCCTATTTCAATAGCATTTACATTTTACCGTGTACGTATACGTGATATTCACCATCTCATTTTATTTCCCGGGTTTTCACTGTTGTACACCCCACTTCTATTTTAACAATACTTCCAGCTTCATATTATTCATATATATGGATGAATATATATATAGAGAGAGACATATCTAGATGTCCTCGTTCAAATAATCTCTTTATATTTGAACAAGTGGTTCACTTTAATACCTTCACATAGGATTGTCATCCCGATTCATCCCTTGTTTAATTTACGAGTGGTAACTCGAGGTGATCAAAAATTTACTTTTAATTTATAACATTCTCATTGTTAATAAATACATTCACTACGTTTAAATTCATGCAAATAACCAAAATTTCATTTATTATACCACTAATATTCATTCTTCAGGTATTATTTCACCCTTTTACATCACAAAAAAATCAACTAACTCAATTTTATCCCCAAAAAAACTCAATTTTAATCCCTCGAATTTCCCCAATTTTAGAGGTCTGATTTCAAACCTCCATAACTTTGTACCGAATGCCACGACACTGCAGACAATAGCCTCTTCTTATAGGAAATTTAATGGCCTATCGAAAAGTACAAAGATGTTTTTTTGGTATCTCAAGCCGTTTGGCCGTAAATCGAGGTCCAAAAATGGACTCCTGAATGACCTTGAAACTTCGAGCTCGATTTTGAAAGCCTATAGCTCGGAAACTATTAGAGCTAGCACCTTGACATAAAAACGTTTTTTGTAGGAAATTTAAAGGCCTACAAGTGAGTGTGCTTACTTTTTTAATACCATGAATAGAGGGCGCAAAAATCGACTCGATAGTTGAAAGTCCGATTTTAGTAAAATTGGGTACTTTAACTGAGTGCTTTTATTTGAATATTATTCGACAAAAGAGTGGTTTATTAATCGAAATCCTCGACCAAAATCTAAGTGTTAAATATTTATAGAGGGTATTTACATTATTGAGAAGATAGAGCGAATTTTTTACTAAAAAAACCCTCTTTTAAATCCGAAGCGAGAAATCTCTAAAGCCAGAAATAAAGATTATATAAGATAAATATAAATTTTATGGATGTTAGTTTTTTTTATTCATTATTCGAGTCTTTGTTTTTATAGAAAAAATCTCGGAAGGAAGGAATAGTAATGGTTTAAGAGGGTGGAGAAAGTTAAATCTAAGAACTGAGAGAGAAACGCTCGAGATAGTGATTTTAATCTTGAAAATTAGTCTCCGGAGAAGTTTGATACTGTGAAGCCGGTTGATGATGTAGTGGTAAGTCTTTGGTGATAAGGAAACGTGAGTCTACGACCAAATGAGTAAATTACGTGTTCTACCCAAAGGTTACTATGTGCTTGGAATAATATTTTTACCACT